CCAAGTCCATTTAACCATTATTAATTATTGGGGAAATTAATGCATCTGGCCAGATTTAAACTAATAAATCTAAATAAAGTTAAATATAACTGTAAGATAAAAGGTACCTACACTTAATCTCTAGGTAAAAGTAAACTAAAATCCATGTTAACTGTGATGAGTGAAAGCCTTAATAAACCAATTGTTTCAAATGTATGTATTGTTCTTCATGTCTAGCCCCAAATAAGTCACCAAATCAAGTCAGATAATACAGTCCACTTAAGTGTATGTTTAAAATAAAGTCAGTTAAAGTCAAACACGGGCATTGGTCCGAATATTTGGTCCTGTCGGAGCCAGGATAAGTTATATTAATAAATAAATAAGTTTGGTGACTTTAAAGGGTTTATTTATTTGTACAAAATTCAATAGTGTCTTTCATGTCTGGGAGAGATAAGCTTATCAAGCTATTGTTCATTCAAGGTTGCTAATGCTCATGTATTTCCCTGTAAATTTCTCTTTTAATTCTCATGAAAAGAAAAGAAGATTTTATGCATAAATATATTTATATTTGTAAATAAATCAACTTATTTAAGTGGTTTTATCTTTTAAACTATACAATTATTGATTTATAGATTTAATTAAGATGGGTACTAAAGAGGAGTTAGAAAGTAAGGCTTGTGTTGAGAAGCGTGAGAGATTATTTCGTAAACTACAAACTACTTATGATTTAATTAAGAAGTTACCAGAAAATGAAAATGTATTTATTGCGAGAGCACAAAAGGTTGAAAGTGATTATACGTTATTCAATGAAATTCAAGATAAGTTAGCAAGATTAAATTTAATAATAGAGTCTGCAGTGACCATTGAAAGTGCCTCTGATGCATATGAGGATTTGTATTATAATGTTGTTGCTCAAAGTCAGTTGATTCTAGACAATCGAAAAAAAGATGTTGTACTTCCTATTACTCATGATGTAAAACAACTGAGGCCAAAATTACCCCCAATTGACATTCCAAAGTTCAAAGGTGATTTGGAAAAGTTCCCAGCTTTTAAGTCTTTATTTGATACACTTGTGCATGAAACTGAGTTAGCTCCTATACAAAAGTTTTCTTTTTCGAAATCATATTTAGAGGTACCTGCTCTATCAGTTATTGATCACTTTGATTTTAATGAGGAGAATTATCAAGCAGCATATGATAACCTAGTAGAAAGGTATACAGATAAGAGGTTAGTGGGTACACTATCTGAATAAACTACTTCATTTTAAACCATTCATGAATGGTTCTTCTAACAACTTAAGACAGTTTATTGATGTATTTTGTGTTCAATATGAATCCCTGAAAGCTTTGAAAATTCCTGATTTAGCTGATTTCGTTGTATTCAATTTAGCCATGAATGTTCTTGATCCTGACACTAAGCGTTTATTCGAAGATAAGAATTCTCATAAGGATTTCCCTACTTTTAAGGACTTATCATTGTTTGTATCTGAGCAGTATAAAGTTGCCTCCTTGGTGCAGGCCCCCAATGTAAGTAAACCAAATACTAACCCCAACTACTCTCCCCAAAGTGGAAAATCCATTAAAAGTATCAAACAAAGTTCAACTACTAAGTCTTTTATGTCTAACGCTCAAGAACCAAAAGGTAGCACACCTCAAACCAAAGGGGTAGAAATGAACAATGATAAGGTTAAGTGCCCATTATGTAAAAATCAGGATACACATAAAGTAAGTTCTTGTGAAAGATTCATTGCAATGTCTCCTATACAAAAACTCGAGACAGCAAATAATTTGAAGCTGTGTTATGCTTGTTTAGGGCCACACCCACGTGCTAACTGTAGAAGTAAGTTCAGTTGTCGAACATGTAAAAACAAAAACCATCACTCCTTGTTGCACCGTGACACACCACAAATACCACAATGTAGCACTGAAACCAGTAAAACCCTCCCTACTCAAGTTCCTGGAAGTAACGAGCCTTCCACTAATGCATTAAATTGTCATGTGAAATCACAAGCAAACAAACAAAATACAACTGGGTTGTTAGGTACAGTACAAGGTCGAGTTATGTCCTCTGCAGGTGACTGGGTGAAATGTCGTATGGTTGTTGATCCTGCCAGTGAGTCGTCATTTATTACAGAGTCCCTAGCACAAACTTTACGATTACCCCGCAAAAGGTACTCAGTTGATGTGGTAGGTGTTGGATCATCTTCATTCTCTAATAATCGGGGTTGTGTATCTTGCTCCATTGTTCCGCTTCATAGGGAAGACCCCATTCTGTCAGTAGAAGCAATAGTTTTGCAAACTATATCCTCGGACATGCCAAAAACCAAGTTAGACCCAAGTATACACAACAGGTTTGGTAACATACAACTAGCTGATCCCGAATTCGATAAACCTGGATCGATTGATGTCCTCTTAGGTGTTCAACATTACTCCAACATACTCTCCGAGAGTTTGGTGCATATCAAAGGTTCTCCAGCAGCTTTAGATACAATTTTTGGATTTATTATTTTTGGTAAAATTCCCACTGTTCACAACTCTTCTGTCGCTCAAACCATGTTTACCCAAACACCATCCCTTGATGATATGTTAAGAAGATTTTGGGAGTCTGAAGAACCCACTCATGTAGTTCCCACAGATGATAATGATGTTTTCTGTGAAAAGGTTTTCAGAGAAACCACCACTCGTGATAGTAATGGGAGATATCAAGTTTCTCTTCCATTCAAGGGAGCTGTACCTCCAGATGATTTAGGATCCACAAGACAAGTAGCTCATAAACGCCTTCTTAGCTTAGAAAGAAGAATGGCAAAATTTCCTGATTTCCAAAACCAGTACAATGCTAATTTAGAAGACTATGTAACACAAGGACATATGCGGCCTGCCACTGCAAGAGTAGATTATCTATTAACTCATCATGCTGTTGTCAAGGAAAGTACAACTACACAAGTGCGAGTGGTCTTCAATGCTAGTGAAAAAGGTAATACGGGCAAATCATTAAATGATTTTCTATTATCAGGTCCTAAATTACAATCTGATATATCTCAGATCTTGTTATATTTTCGAATGAACCCCATAGCTCTAATAGGTGATATCAAACAGATGTACAGATGTATAGGTCTTAATCCTAATGACACTAAGTACACACATTTATTGTGGCGAAATGATTCTAGTCAACCTATTACAGAATGGGAACTTACAACTCTGCCTTTTGGATTAACCTGTAGTCCTTTTCTAGCTCAAGAACAATAAAACAGTTAATTGCGGATGAAGGGGACAGTTACCCAGTTGCCTCAAAGGCTCTCACGTCTAACATGTATATTGATGACATGGTATGTGCAGTTAATACAGAACAGGAAGCTGTTCAGTTGTACCATGAAGTAACTAATTTGCTAAGTAAAGGAGGATTTTCACTCAGAAAGTATGCTAGTAACAGTCCAAATGTGTTATCACAAATTCCTGTTGAAGAACAAAATGTTTTTGTATCCTTTGAATCATCCCATTGCATTAAACTTTTAGGTTTTCTATGGGACCCTACATCCGATGTATTTTGTTACAAGTTGTCCAATGAAAATCCAGTTACTACAAAAAGAGGTGTGTTGTCACAAGTCGCGCGCATTTATGACATAAATGGTTATCTCACTCCTGTTACGTTTTGGATAAAGTATTTCATTCAAAGGCTCTGGCTTGCTGGCATTGATTGGGACGAAAATCTCCCTGCTCCCTTGGCTCAGTTATGGCTGGAATTTTTTTCTCAGCTGGAGGAAATAGAGAAGATCCGAATACCCAGGTATATAAGTTTCAGGGACCCAGACCAAATCTCGGTGATATGCTTCTGTGATGCAAGTGAAAAGGGTTACGGAGCATGTGTTTACCTTAGGGTAAAGTCTTCTGACAATCAAGTAAATGTTAACCTCCTCAAATCTAAAAGTAAGGTTGTTCCACTCAAACCGGTGACAATTCCTCGGTTGGAACTAAATGGTGCTTTGCTTCTGTCCAGGCTAATAAGGTCATTGAATGACTTCCTATCCAATTTGCCCACTTATGATACCATATGTTATACTGATAGCAGTACGGTTCTGTCATGGTTACATACACCACCCCATCAACTTAAAACCTATGTATGTAACAGAGTTGTTGAAATTCTAGAAGTTTTAGCTCCTTCTATGTGGAAACATGTTCCTGGAAAAACCAATCCAGCTGATGCTGCTTCGAGAGGGTTACTACCTACCCAGTTAGTTGATCATAACCTTTGGTGGCATGGACCAAACTTCCTAAAGTTTGACATTAGTCAGTGGCCTCGTAGTGATTATCAATGTGTTAATCCCATTCCAGAAACAAAAATAAGGGAATATAGTAGTTTCGTCACTCAGGAGATCCCCGATAAAAATAATGATTGTATTATAGAATCATTATTGCAATCATGTTCTTCGCTGACAAAGGTCCAACATGTTTTAGGTTATGTTATGCGATTTGTGTCTAATGTTAAAGCAAGTGTAAATAAAAGAAGGTTTGGAGAGCTCACTCATTTAGAACTAAACAATTCTTTAAAGGTACTTATTAGATTCACACAAGGCAAATACTACTCCTCAGAAATTAACAGTATTAAGAGTAATAAACCTATTAAAGGATATGTACAACATTTGACTCCTTTTGAATGTAAAGAGGGTTTGCTAATGGTGGGGGGTCGCCTAGCTCAAGCTCCTGTCTCAAGTGCCAGGAAACATCCTTATTTGATTCACAGAAAGAGTAGATTAGCGGAGTTGATTTGCTTGTACTATCATAAGTTGACCTTACATGGAGGAGCACAATTAATGCAATCGCTTATTCAAAGAAAGTTTTGGATTCCTGGAATACGTTATCTTTTAAGAAGTATTGTATTTAAGTGTATGAATTGTTATAGGTTTAAAGCTAAACCTTTAGAACCACTCATGTCAGATGTTCCTAGCTGTAGATTTCAGATGACAAGAGCTTTTGTCAACACTGGTGTAGATTTAGCGGGTCCTTTTGTATGTAAAGAGAGTAGAAGGAGAAATGCTAAAACCTATAAATGTTGGGTAGTTATGTTTGTTTGTCTATGTACTCGAGCTGTTTATATAGATATAGTCAGTGATCTCTCTACTGCAGCCTTTTTGTCATCCTTGGACAGATTTATTTCAAGGAGAGGGGTGCCAGCTACTATGTATAGTGATTTAGGTACAAACTTTGTGGGTGCAGCCAGAGAACTGAAAGAACTTAGAGATGTATTACTACAGGGTAATGACCAAATCAAGTCCTACTGTGAAGAGCGTCACATCAATTGGCAGTTCAACCCTCCATCAGCTCCGAATTTTGGTGGTTCCTGGGAAGCCGCAGTAAAATCAATGAAACATCACCTCAAACGAGTAATCAAAGATCGTCCCTTAACATTTGAAGAATATTCAACTCTATTAGCGAAAATAGAAGCTATCATGAATTCCCGTCCTTTGTGTCCAGTGTCATCCAGCCCTTCCGATGGGTTTGATTATTTGACTCCAGGACATTTTCTTGTGGGTGCTCCTCTACTCTTAAGTCGCCCTGAAGAGGATCTGTCAATTCAACCCATAAACTTTCGATCGAGATGGCAGCTTATCTCCCGAAGTGTTCAGGATTTTTGGCAGAGATGGTCTCGAGAATACATTCACACCCTCATGCATCGCCCGAAGTGGGATACTACCATTCCAAACCTCACTCCAGGGAAGATGATACTTCTTCCAGCCAAGAACCTTCCTCCAACATCATGGTCCATTGGCCGAGTCCTCGAAGTGTATCCTGGTATAGATGGAACCGTTCGGGTGGCGCAGATCAAGACTGCTAGTGGAACCTTCACTCGTCCTGTGAATAAACTATGTCTATTGCCTTTTCAAGATTAAGCTTCAATGTTTTTATGTGTTTGTTTTAAAATATTCATTTTGGGTGGGGGGATGTTTGGGCCATCCTTATTTCCCTCCAATCTCCTTAATCTGGTGGAAAGTGAGTGAACTAAGTAATGCAGTGTTTGTGTTTGATTGGTGCTGAACTCTGGTGGGCAAAGCCTGAACTTTGGTGGAGTGGGTGATCTTATCTACTTTCTCTCTTCTGGAAAAGTTTTCAGACAAGCAACATCCCATGTTAACCTTATGATTTTTCATATTTAAAAGGAATTAATGAATCTTAACAGCTGTTTCAATTGAACAAGTTGGTTCTGTTCTGTGATGTTCAATAGCATTGAAGTTGCAATGATTACCAACAGGGTGCAGCACTATTATTTTTTTGAAATTTATGACAACAGCTAATTTGCAACCAAAAGGCGAGTGAGCGCAGCGAACGAGCTCCAACCTAAAGGTGAGTGAGCGTAGCGAACGAACTTCAACCAGGACGTAATTGAGCCATGCGAATACTTATGAAGTTAAACGGGGCAAAGCCCGCTGTTACAGCTAGTATAGTAAAAGGCAAAGCCCTCACTGACTGACTGACTGACTGACTGACTCACTCACTCATCACTAATTCTCCCACTTCCCAGTCTTCCCACTTACCTAAGAGGCTGAAATTTGGTACACTGATTCTTTAGGCATTAAATAGGAAAACTAAGTGGTTTTTATTCTGATCGGACTCTCGGGCTCCGCCCCAGTGGCTCTGGAGTTTCCCATGTTAACCTAATGAGTACTCATATTTAAATGGAATTAATGAATCATAACAGCTGTTTCAATTAAACAAGTTGGTTCTGTTCTATGATGTTCAATAGCATTAAGGTTACAAGGATTACCAACAGAGTGCAGCACTATTATTTTTTTTAATATTTGACAACAGCTAATTTGAAACCAAAAGGTGAGTGAGCGTAGCGAACGAACTTCAACCCGGAGGCGAGGTAGCGTAGCGAACGAGCTAACCTGAAGGCAATTGAGCGCAGCGAACGAGCTCCAACCGTAAGGTGAGTGAGCGTAGCGAACGAACTTCAACCAGGACGTGTGAGCGCAGCGAACGAGCTCCAACCTAAAGGTGAGTGAGCGTAGCGAACGAACTCTAACCAGGACGTGATTGAGCCATGCGAACGAGCTCACATATGAAGTTAAACGGGGCAAAGCCCGCGGGCACAGCTAGTTGAATATACAGGGTTAGTAAAAAGTGTGGAGACCCCCTGTTATTTTTTTAACGGCCTATACTAGAAAAACTAAACTCGGCACACCATTATGGCAAGTTATGAAGTACTTTTTGGGCATAACCGCCACTTGGTGTTCATCCCCAAAATGGGGGATTTTGGGGGAAACTCAGAAATTTTAAATGATAAGCCCCATCGAGTGACCTTTCATTTTGAAGGTACTGGTAAAAGAAAACTAACAATGCAAACTATAGATCTCTATCTTAACACAGTAAAATATGGGAGCCACTTGAATATAAAATTGCAAGTTATTTCCGATTTATAAAGATTTCAATCAGCTTCCATTTTTTACTGGATTGAGATAGAAACCTCTAGTTTGCGTTGTTAGTTTTCTTTTACCAGGACCTTCAAAATGAGGGGTCACTTGATGGGGCTTATCATTTAACACTTTTGAGTTTCCCCCAAAATCCCCCATTTTGGGTTTGGTAAGCAAGTGGCTATTAGGCTTAAAAAAGTACTTCATAACATGCCAAAAAGGTGTGTAGAGTTTAGTTTTCCTAGTGTGAGCCGCTACAAAATTTACAGGGGGTCTCCAGACTTGGAAGGCTGCAAGTTAAATTCAACTGCTGAGAATTTCAATTGGCTGCCATTTTTTACTGGATTGAGATAAAGACGTCTAGTTTGCGTTTTTGGTTTTCTTTTACCAGGACCTTCAAAATGAGGGGTCACTCGATAGGTCTTTCTATTTGAAATGTTTGAGTTTCCCCCAAAATCCCCCGTTTTGGGGATGTACACCAAGTGACGGTTATACCCAAAAAGTACTTCATAACATGCCATAAAGGTGTGCCGAGTTTAGTTTTTCTAGTATGGGACGTTAAAAAAATAACAGGGGGTCTCCACACTTTTTACTAACCCTGTATATACAGTCAAATAACGTTACAACTTTTACAGCACTGATTAACCACTGGCAACCACCCTGACAACCGCTGACAATCATATCATTTTCAAACCCGGCTAAAAGGCTTAAAACTCAACCACACGCTTGCGTGGTGTTGGTGTAGTCAGTGTGAGTGCGGATTGATTTTTCAGCGAGGAACAGAGAGCAGAGACAGAGGCACTGTTACAGCGTTGTGAGGTGGGGGTCATTACCCCTCATATCCACAGTGTCAACCCTCTGCCCCCGGGGAACCGGAGTTTTGCCAACAGGTGTCAGGTAGATGGGGGATGCCTTCGGCCACCTCTTGGTGCGGAGATTTGCCAACGGTGGTGGTGGGAGAAAGAGTGTGACGTCCGGAAGGAGAGCGATTGTCAGGGTTGTCTACGCTTGGCAGTTATGCGCTTGTCGCGGTGGGTTAGGTTAGGTTAGGTTAGGTTAGGTTAGGTTAGGTTAGGTTAGGTTAGGTTAGGTTAGGTTAAAAATTCAATACATTTCCTTTCACAGTCAGAGGTGCATAACTGCATTACATACTTTGAACACAGTCAGCATCCTGCCTGGTTTGTCCACCCATAGCGGAAGCCACCCTCACGGTCACGTGTAATCTCTCTCCCCCTCCCCCTCTCGCGCAACCCACAACCGTTGGCAAAACTCCGCAGTATGTGGAATTCATGGATGGGGACCCTTTCTACCTGATACCCGTTGGCAAAACTCCTACACTCCTGCCCCCGTGCCCCGCGTGGTGTGCAGTGAAAGGGAAAGGTGAAAGCCAGGACTACAAGTAGTCCTGAGTGAAAGCAGCGCTCAGCGCTCCTAGACGTTGGCGGGCAAACTACGCTGTCCTAGCTAGCAACTGTTATAAACACTGCAGCCTCAGTGATAATATACCAGTGCAGGTAAACGATACAATTAAGTGTCGTTGTACATCAATTCTACCGTCGTCGTAAGTTGTATTCTTTAAGTCATGACTTGTGCGGGACAATCATCGTTATCGTTAATCAGTGAGTTAGACAAGCTAGATAATACATTTTCCAATAAATTATACACATTTCTAGAAACTTTAGGCAAATATTTAGACAACCAGACTAAAGTTAATATTTTCGGCAAGGGGTTAAACACTTTAAAAGGTGATATCAAATACATCGAAAAACTTGCGTTAAGAAATCAGTTCGTGTTTGAATTAGACCTAAATCGAACACATGATAATCTTTACTGTCTGTTGATCGCAATTTTTATCATATGCGACAGCTACTGTACTATATCAAAGAAAAGTAAAGCTAAGTGCTTTAGCCATTTCAAAAAACTGATATCGCGTTTGAAGACCGAGAAATTTGACAAACAAAAACTACTGGTCAGTTTATCGTGGTTCAGTTTTGAATTGAAGCGAGAGTTCTACCACAGACAATGGTTCTGCCGTAAACGTTGTACGTCAACACAACGCTCCAACACCTGCGTGGCAGTCAATGTAAGTAATAGTAGTTTTATATTGTAGTAAAGTTATTTCCCTTTATAAGTAAGATAATTTAATTCATTAACTGTTTACTTATTGAACAATAGTTTGGTCTAAGCTAGAAATATATTTCTTTGCAAAATTTTAAGCTGAATACCGAAAATACAAAAACAGATATCTATATAATTAATACGCTACACGAAAGTTTGTCGGTTGAACTCCTCCGCCATTTCTTAACCAATTTTATCCATTGACGTCTCATTGGAAAGAGCGTGTCGCGTAGATTTGCAAACTGGCCTTACATTTTTGAAGAAGTCCCTTGGGCTCTGCCCCAGTGGCTTTGAAAGTTCCATCACAGTCTGAACCTGAACCTGGACACTATTAGGTTACAAATGCGCCCTAACACTACCCCAAAACGACTTTTCGTTCTCAATTGGCCCTCTATTAATGACCTGTGTTGCCTGGACAGCGAGGCATTTTGAGAAGGAGAGAACCGTCCGGAATGCTTTAGGTTTATCAATAACGAAGATAAACAGGGTCTGAGTTACACAACGGTAATATTTGAGTTGATCTTTTAAACTCATTGTAAAGATGACTGTTATTCAATCTTACATAACTCCTGTAATACTTTGTTATTGCTCGAATTTGAGCAACATGTACACTAGTCTATATAATTAATACGCTACATGAAACTTTGTCGGTTGAACTCCTCCGCCATTTCTTAACCGATTTTATCCATTGACATCTCATTGGAAAGAGCGTGTCGCGTAGATTTGCAAACTGACCTTACATTTTTGAAAAAGTCCCTTGGGCTCCGCCCCAGTGGCTTTTAAAGTTCCCATGTTATCCTTATGGAGAATGTAATTGTTTACATTTGGATCAGCTGTATAATTTAATTGCTGTTATTTATTCTTCAATTCAGTGAAACGCATTGGGTACATTTACAGATTTTGTTGAAATTAAATATTTACTATTTTAATTTACGTTCGTACATATTACAATGTAAAAAATCGAGAATGGACAATTGACATTGTAATGTATTTCTTGAGCAATCATTGAAAGAACCGATTTGTTTACCACGAAAACTACTGTACTATTTTGTAGGAAACATGGACTTAACATTATGATAATTGGCAAAGGAAACCCCTCTAAGGCTGATTTAAACTGGTAAGGCAAGGACATTGAATACAAGTTTTCATGAAGGTCAAGTGATTTTAAAAAAGAATATGATTACATCCAAGAAACCTTAGTAAAACTTTAATTGGCTTCGTATTATTCACATTTAAGGGAAACAACAAACCATCTGAACAACATTAGGCCTTTCAATTTTGCATTTTTCCAGGTAAATATAATTTACGTTATAACAATAACTAGCCAAATTAATTCCAATTGAAGCAAATAAAATTATGTCCGAGAGGTTATGCAGAGAATCAGGTAGTTCGTAAGTAATGTAAACATAATGTTATCGCTATAAAAAAAGACTGAAATTTTTAAACGCACTGGCGACAATGGGTGGTACCATGCAGACTACTTTATTATTGCCTAAGATCAACATTGACAAGCTAATGCGGCTATAAGTGGGAAA